TGGGACCTGAACCTGTTCAGCCTCCAAAAGAGAAGGCTGAGGGGGGATCTTGTGGCCTGTTATAAACTGGTTAGGGGGGATCAGCAGGCATTGGGGGAGTCCCTGTTCCCCTGAGCACCGCCAGGAGTGACCAGGAATAATGGTCACAAGCTGGCAGAGGGTAGGTTTAGGTTAGACATCAGGAGGTGCTATTTCACGGTCAGGGCGGCTAGGGTCTGGAACCAACTTCCAAGAGAGGTGGTGCAGTTTTCTACCTTGGGCGTTTTTAAGAGAAGGTTAGATGAACACCTTGCTGGGGTCGTTTGACCCCAGTACTCTTTCCTGCCATGGCAGGGGGTCAGACTAGATGATCTGCTCAGGTCCCTTCGACCCTAGAAACTATGAAACTAATAGCTCTTCACTATCCACAAACAGATACTCTCACAAATATGCATCTATGGGGACACATCATCCTATTTTTTAAAAATCTTTATAACTTATTTGGAAGTTTTAAGAGTTCAGTGCCCTTGAAGTAACTCGTCCTCTGCCCCTCAGGTGCGTATAACCTACTCCACACCTAATTACACGAGGAAGCCAGCTTGCCTATCCCTGCCTTTTCATGAACATTTATACCAGTAAAAGTCAGTCCTGTCAAGTCTGAATCCAGCACTTGCAGAGGAATGCCACATCAGGTGTAAGTCTGCATGTGACAGCTCAGCTCAGACTTGCAGAGGCCAGGCACCTTCTGTCAGCATAATATCTAAAGCATATTTCCTTTTTACTTCATTTTTTTAAGGATCCCTTCGGTTTTGTGTTATAGAGCAAGTTCGATAGAGTCATAGTAGGGAAAGACATCTACTTCTTATAAAAAACTTAAAGGAAGCCTAGTCATACAACCATTTTTGCTGTGCTTCCAAACATGAGCTCTGCAGGGCATCTTTATCTCAACGATAGGATAAAATCCTTCCCAGCTATCAAGTCCATTAGCAGGAACATAGCCAGCCCAGTTCAGAGATGACTTACCTTCCAAATGACTTTCCGATGGCAGATGGCCGGGCCTCATAATAATACTGTTTGTACTCATCCATCCACACCTCTGCTGTGCGTTTGGTGTTCCTGCATGTGGGCAAGGAGCAATTCTGCTGAGTGCCAGCTGCCTGCGGATCGCTCATCAAGAGACAGAACTGTGGTGACTGAGAACGTGTCTACACAGGGGCATAGGATGCTCAGGAAAGTTCAAGCCAAACTAACTAACAGCGTGACTATAGAATGCATCAGTTAAAGCACTTTAGATACCTGTGTGGATGCTCACACTCAGAAGTAAGAGTGTCCTAAAGATTATAGACAGATGAAGCATTTCTGCCAGTGTAAAATCAGCATTACACCTGCGTACACATACAGTAGTGGACAGATTACACTAACCCCTAAACTGGACTAACTTTACCCAATCTGGGGAGAGCTAACCCAGGTGTAAAACTCTACTAGTATAAGTTACACTGGTTTATGTTTCTACAGGCAAGAACCTGATCCCCCACTGCCTAGCAACAAGATGCAGTAATAAACATCTACTGTGTAAGATGCCCTGGGATAGCTGCAGGTTTGGCCATTCCTGATCCCAGGATAATTTCCATATGGGCACAAACCAAGACAAATTATACCAGGGAATGTATTCATCTGTCTTTTAGTCTGCAACAGCTTTACTCCCTTGTGACTTTGTGTATACATGTCTTTGGTGATTAGTCACAGGCCACTCTCTCCTTCCTCCCAACATGTCTGCCAGTTTTCCTTATTATGATTCTCTCCCCACACTTTTCTCCAGTGAAACCTTCCCTTGTGATTTCTCAGAGCTGATACAGACAGGTAGTACATCTGGACTCAGGGGGCTCAGGTACTACCTCCTAATCAGTAGCAACATATGTGATCAAGAATTCCTGAGATCCAGCTGACAGTTCCTGTGTAGAAACAGCACAATTTCTTTTCCTATGCAGAAGGCTCCAGAGAAACCCTGGTTAAATATGAATGTTCAATCATGTGCAACTTCCCCCTGGCCCCTAAGTCCCTATGGAAAAGGTAAGAGAAAAGATAAAACTCTGCAATGAGAGTATTTAGGCATGCTAAGCACAAGGGTGACTGATTTGTCATTGCAATCCTCTAATACCTACTTAATGTAGGTCAGTGCATTGCCCTCAGGAAAGTCATAGGGGTGGCGCTTCCTGAACACATGGCCCACACGACTGCAGGGAACAATCTCCAAGCTGCCACCGCACATCCACACGCGGAAGGAGAGCTCTGGAAAAGATCCCAAGAATCATGAGACAACAGCCAGGCAAGCAATACCAGACTTCCAGCAATGTTGATCCACATGCTGTCCCTGAAATCCTTGCCTCCCATCTTTGCCCATGCCACAAACACCAAGAAAAGTATGACTAGGAAGGTTGGGAATGATGCAGGGTGAGATAATTTATTTCTTCTTGAATCAGAGCTAGACCCCCTCCCTCCAAGAGACATCCTAACCTTCTTCCAGTCTCTCTTCCCTCTGGTCCCAATAAGACTATTGTTTTAGCAAGATACTTGCTTAGTTATCCTGCTCCTTTGGGTTCTCAGATACTTAAAATGGCTTTCAGGAAAAGTATGTGATATTAATGTGACCTTACAGTGGGTTGCGTGGTTTTGGACTCCAGTGCCTTGCAAGCCCTTCCTCTAGGAGATATGGCTGCACTGGTGAATTTGAGAAACCCATGAAGAATTTAGAATGGGTGGAAAACTTAAATGGGAGAACAAATAGAAACAAGTGGAAAAGCAACAGATTCATAAAAAGGTGTGAATAAACATGTCTTCGAAAAGAAGAAATAGAGGAGGTGAAGAGGTCCTTTTTGGTTGAAGCAAACAGTCCACACCTAGCGACCCATCTCCTCCTCTGTGCCCTCAAGTATATCACTCTGGGATACAAAGAAGAGTGTACCGTAAACACCTGGCAAGTTCAGGCCACAGTTGCAATTCCCCTGTAATGGCAGGGTGGTGACATAGCTGACTGCATTTATGTACATTGTATATAAAATTAAACTCATTCCTCTGGCAGAGGCACTTTTGTGACCCCTCAGCATTGCAGAGTTTGGGACCACTGCTGTAGAAGGCCCCTGTGCCAGTCTGAACAGTGAACACCATATGTCCTCTACCAGTCTACCCTTTTCCTCTCTTGGCCCTGCAACCTCTAGTAGCTGCAACACATCTCTAGTTACTATATTATCTGCCTTGCAAAACCTCATTGTAAACTACAAAATCCACTGGGCTCTATCAAAAACAGCACAAGACTGAAACTGCAGTGCTGTAGTTTGTTCACAGTTCCCCATGTTGAAGGAATTTTATCAAGAACAGAATTCAGTCCCATTTATTTAAAAGAGCACCCTCCTTGCCATTGATTACAGAAGCCCAACGGGCCCTGCAGTAAAATTCAACATTTTGTTAAAGGATTAAAAGAGCAAAGGGGCTTTGATGTACAGAAGCTCATTTGCATCACTGAGGAGGCAGGACCTTGTTAAAGCTTCCAGGTCTGTCCCTGTGAGTTAAGGTTGCCACACTGGAGGGGTTCTTCACTTGCATTTAATGTGGAGGTGAAAGGAATAAAAGAGGAAAGAGAATGGGGGAAAGTATCTAGGGAGTCATGGATGGCTTTGGATAAACCTCCTACCAAAGGCTTATGTAGACTCTTGTCTCTTTCAAATAATTTCCCCACCTGAGGTGCTCTACAGGAGGGGGGATTCTAGCACTGGGAAGTTTAAAAATAAATCCTTTCGTGCTGAAAGCTACCACCTGAGCCCTTCAGCTTGTCTATCCAGCTCCTTTGGGATGAGTGGGAAAAGTGTCTTAAAGTGAACAGACTATTTTTTTAGTTAGCTTTTGTTTTCAAGTACAGAAGACAATTGTAATAAGCCATCAGTTTGTGGAATCCACACCTGCCTTTTGTCCTGCCCACTTCCCACAGCATGTCCTTTCCCGTCTGGTCTGAATGAGGGGTCAGTCAAGAAATAAGCAGCAAAGGAAAGTTTCCCAGCTAGCCAACATCAGGAACAGAGAAAACCCCCTTCTTCTTTTTTTTTTTTTTTTTTTTTTT